CCGACCCCCACCCCTGGCTCCTGTCCACAAGAAGCATGAGGTGAGAGGGAACCACAGGTCAATTCCTGGAGGTGAGTCCGGCCCCACGTGGAGACCCTCTGATCACTGAGGTCTTTCTACTTTCTCTGGCTTTGACATTATGAAGATTTATCCCATGAGTCCTCAGGAGAAAGGAGAATACAGAAAATCAAAGAGGAGGGCAGGAAATTGAGGACAGTTGAGGTTAAGTAACTTGATGACAAATCACACTAAAATATCAAAGGTTCTAAAACGTCGTACAGCAAAGGCACCTATTTGATGTTGCTTAATCCAGTCTCCCTAAACCTACCTGGCTATGGAAACCGTTAGCTCAGAGCATTAATGTCACAGAGCGAACTTGAGAGGATGCTGTAACAGATTTCGTTGCAGGAAGTTATATGTAGAACTGGAGACAGAAGAGGTGAGGCATGGCATTTGCAACATGTAATACCTGTTCTACATCCCAAATGGTATCAGCGGCAATTCTGGGTCCTTCGCATTTCCATATGAATTTTACGAACAGCTTGCCAATTTCCCCACAGAAAGCCAGCTGGGATTTTGATAGGAATTGCGTTGAATTTACAGATCAATTCTCAAAGTAGTGATTGATATCTTAACAATTTTAAGGCTGCTGATCCAGGATCCTGGAATGTCTCTCCATTTACAATATTTAGAACTTCAATTTCTTTCAGCATTGTTTTGTAGTTCGTAAATGGCCTGCACTCTTTTTGTTACTTTTATTCCTAAGTGTTTTATTCTTTTTGGTGCTGTTGTGAATAGAACTGTTTCGTACTGATGAATTTAGAAGGCGCTCTGCTCTCTGGCATGGTGGCATTTGGAGTGGCCCATCATTAACTATTCTTGATTAATCGAGGATGGTTACGTGTGATGTCATCATGGATGTTCAGATGTCCAAGAATCAGAATACAGAATACGGGAAAGCACCACCAGCAACTAAAGTCTGGCTGAAGCCACTGAGTCTTTGAGGGGTCAGATGGGCATTCAGGACATCCGAGAGCTTCAGGATTGGCATCTTGATGCCTCCCACAATACTCTGCATCCCTCCACAGTGCCCATATCACCCTGCGTCGCAATGATCTGTGTATGTCTGTTTCCCCTCCCCATTACCCTGTGAAGATAAGGACCATGTCTCACTCTTTTTTGCATCCTTCATGTTGAATAGCATGCTTGATGCATGGCTGAAACTCCATGCATACAGACCACCTGCCATGGCATGATCTGTAATAGAATTATGATGAACAGACTCAAGAGCTTACACATGTATTGCCGTGGGTTCCAGACATACCTGTCATTGTGCCACCTTGCTGAAAAGGGCAAGCCAAAGCCACCATGTTTGTACCTTTTGACCCCACCCTTCCCTGACCCAATTTAATTGGACCAGGACTGGAACAAGCCCTAAACTGGGCCAATCAGCTTTCTCTTCTGAGGATTTGGAAGTGGGACACTAAACAGCTGAGTCAGATATGTTTTCAGAGCTGAGCCATGGTGAGCAGGAGTCACATGCGTGGTTAGCAGCCACGAGGAGGCAGAAGGAAGCCGGTCTACAGAGAAGGGTGGAATGGGGCCACAGATCCAAAGAGGGGGCTGCCTTGGTCCCTGGTGGCTCCCCCGTTCCCCTTTTCCATTGTGTGACGGCAGGCTGCACATTGTTCCTGAGATCTTCCTAACATTTCAGAGGCTGCAAACTGGCAACCCACCAACCAAACCTGGCCTGCAGATGGATTTTATTGGGCTCACACAGCATTTAAAAAATTTTGATCCAATATACTAAACTTTGGGGATTTCACATAAAAATCCAGATTCCTGTCTTGAAAATTGGGAGATCCCACCGTGCAACAAAATCAGCTAGAACTAAGTAGTAGTGGCCTGCCGTGAATGGGACCCATGTTTCTTGCTCTGCCACAGTACCCCCTTTTCCTGTTGTTCCTTACACTTCCATTTTACTCATTTATGTTCCCTTGGTTGTCCTCTGTAAGAAATTAACTACCAACCCTAACCTTAAAATAAAGCTATACTTCATTTGAATGAACCTGAGTCTAATTTCTACTCCTTGCATTAAAACAGCCTTGATGAGAACTCGGTGGCGAGGCTCCTCTCCTCCATCCCACTTCCCATAGCCATCGCCTTCCTTCTTCCGTGCTAACAGAACCCCAATTTTGTGTTCAGGAGGCTGTGGGTATCCCTTGGTCCTGTGGGAAGTAGGTCCTTCCTTCCCCAGCCCTAGGGAAGGATTCATGCTAGGAAGGGCATGGGACCCAGATCTGACCAACATGAAGCAATGGTCAATCTGCTGAAGAACCTCCCTTTCATCCAAAATAAAACCAGGCCCATTTGAAAGCAGACCTTTTGTGACCGTTCCTTCCCGCTTCTACCTGCTTTGAAAATAAATACAATGACCAAACCTTCAGCAGCCATTTTGTGACCATGCGGTTTCAAATGCAGAGGATGGTGGAGGCAAAAAAAGTTGGGTCTTTGATGGCATCATTCAGCTGCTGAACCTTTCCTAGAACTGCCTGGCTCTGTGGACTTGTTGTTAAATGAACAATTATATTTTAATGGTTTAAGCTACTATTGACTAGTTTTACTGAGGCTTGCAGCTCAAGGTATCCAGTCCTTTGATGTTTATTGGTAGTAACTAAGGGAGATTCTTAATCTCACCCTTTAAGGCTTTCTGTTGCCTAATAATAATTAAAAATAATAAATGCCCATGTTTATTTCAAAGTTCAACCCTAAGATAGTCTTTCATCTCATTGCCAACACCACCAGGGTCATGTATGTGTTCCTGAGAATACTTGAAGTAAGGGAAAGAAAGAAACTAGATAACTCTGGCTACATTAAACATTTTTGCCATTTTCCGAAATCTTTCCTAACACTCAGAGAAATAGATGTCATTTCCATTAATGGAAATAGAAGCTGTTGGATGATTCAAAATTAGATACAAACGTCCTCAGCTGAAGCCCGGGGCAAACTTTTGTGGCAGCTCTTATATCATTCAATAACATTGATTTTTCTTAAGGGCAGGCAATTTAGAAGGCAAAAAGTTTTTAACTTTCATTTTCTCAAGAAGAGAAAGCTCTCAATAGCAGGCTTCTTTCCCCCATCCCCTGGACAACGTTTCTACCCACCAAGCACTCTTTCCCCACCCCAGTCCCCAGTTCCTCCAGGTTATTTGAGGAGGAAGGAAGTGGACCTGCTCATACGGCAGGTCTGGTCAGCTGGAAGGCAAATAAGACAAGAAAGGTTCTGTGTTACCCAGGAGAGCTCAGCAGACCAGAAATAATTAGAGCTCTAGCCACTCAGGGTTCAAGGATACACTCACATTGTCAGGGAGAGGTAAATCTGCCAAGCCACTGCCTCTCTGACTGCCTGGGCCAAGGCGACTGCAGCCCATATTTCAGGGACACGGGATTGTTTGCAGTCACCCTAGGATTTGAGCCTGAAGAAGTTGCTCACTGTGACCTCAACATCGTTTGAGTCAAGTTGTGATGGTGGCAGTCAACTGTGCAACTTTCCCCCTTTATGGGAAAGATTGTCATATTAAAGCATATTAAAACATTGAGGGCCGGCCGAGTGGCTCAGTTGGTTAAGAGCATGAGCTCTAGCATTTGAGCTCTGAGCAACAGCAGTTTGATTCCCGGCCTGAGCTGAGCTGCTGCTGAGCTGCCAACAGGTGGCAGGATGGCTCAGCTAAAAAAAAAAAAAAGAGCATGAGCTCTGAGCAACAGGGTCACCAGTTCAATTCCCCCATGGGCCAGTGAGCTGCACCCGAGCTGATCTGCCCACTGAGCTGCCAACAGGTGGCAGGATGGCTCAGCTGGTGAGAGCACGTGCTCCTAACAACAAGGTTGCCAGTTTGACTCTCACATGGGATGGTGGGCTACGCCCACCCGCAACTAAAATTGAACACGGCACCTTGAGCTGAGTGGCAGCGAGCTGCCAACTGGCAGCCGGATGGCAACTGGACTTGGAGCTGAGCTGGCTGTGTCCTCCACAACTAAGAATGAAGGACAACAACTTGGCTGTTCCCCTTCCCCAATTCTCCAATAAAATCTTTAAAAAAAAAAAGAAATAAATAAAGCATTGAGATGACCCTGGATGGATAAAATTGGCAAGACCATTAAGCTAAACTGTCACTAGGACATTAGACAAACAAACTTCGCCCCTTGCAATGTCCATCACCAACATGTTTTAATAAGAGATGAACGTACACATTTGGTTTCCTCGCAATGTTGACTTCAAGCAGGTATCTCCAAGCAGAGGGTCAATCTTCTCTGGCCTTTGATGGAATCCAGCCACTTCCTCCCTCCTTCTCTAGGTTCCCTGCCTTTCCGACGGGGAAAAGGCTTGTGTAAACCAAATCCTGGAGGTGGGTGCTGTCCGCAGAGACATGGTGCCAGCCCTTCTTTCCAAGGCCAACCCCAAATCCTATTGACCTCCCTTCTCTTCCTTTGAAAATGTACACATTTCACACATCTGGGTCCTCCCAGTCCTCCCCACCCCGCAGCAGCCCCACCGTGGGTTCCACTGCCGGAACCCCAAGAGCTGCCTCTATGTAAAGACCATGCCAGCCCTTGACAGCAAGAGTGGCAGAGGAACCAGGGTGGGAGGGTTCCTGGTCCCCGACCCCGACAGGAGCAGCCAGTTGGTGTAGCATCCTTTTGTTTTCTCTGTCCATTTATCTATCCGCCCACGCTCAAAAATCAAAAGCACTGAGACCTCAGTTAACTGTCTTCTTTCCCCAAGAGTCACCAATCCACCTAATTAAGGAGGGAACCAGAAAAGAAGTCCCAACGTGACCTTTGCTGCTGCCAAACAGGAGGCCCCTGTTGTGGCTTTGGGCTTGGTTCTCAGCCCCGTCGGCCTCAGTCTCCAATGACCAGGGGTAACAGCTCTCTGAGGTTGTCATCTGGTGCAAGCCCAGCGGTCCCCGTGGACACATTTGGATCCCCTAGAGCCAGGGACAGCAACTCCAAAGGGGCCCAGGTGGGGTATGTGGCTCAAGTTCAAATGCATGTCCATCTGCCAGAGCCTCCACTAGTCAGGCCCTGCCTGGGGAGGCAAACCCAGGGGCCTCATCTGAGGGAACGTTTCTTGGATGCAAGAAAAAGCTGCTCAGGTCACACCCAAGTCACCTTTGATTTCAAAGACGAAAGCTGGGGGCTGAGGGTATAGGAGAAACCTACTGGTGGGTGGCAGGTGTCGACTCACTAGGCGTCAGCTTTCACTGGGGCTGGGCCTGGACTGTATCTACAGCGAACCTTTGGTTTTTGTTCACCAAAGGGTGTGACCAGCTGATTCTGGATGGCGTCTGGTTGGCCACTGGCACCACCAGGCACTCCTAGTGTGGCCGTTTTCCCATGCAGATCCACAGGTTATTAACAAACCTCCCCCCACACATACAGAGCACCCCCAGAGCAAACATTTCCCCATCCCCAGGTGGGTCTCGATGAATATGAGCAACCAGGGTCCAGGTTGTACTCTAGGATGAGTTCTTGGTGTCGGCAGTGACGGTCAGTGCCCCAGCGGGGTTCCACCAGCGCCCCGTGCTCTACAGCCTCAAAGACCAGCTCAGCCCCCCATCGGTCACTACTCCTGAGAGCCAGAGTTCGACCTGGTGACGCCTGTGATGTGCGTCCCTCGGCCGACCATCTCCTGGCCCCACTCCCGGTGGCTGGACTCTTGCAGTCCACGGCCTTTAGTCTCGATGGGCAAAAAGCAGGAGGCCACGGCAGCCAGGAGGCAGCAGACACTGTAAACCGCCAGCGTCAGGTACACGGAGGATTCTAACATCACCTGGTAGAGGAAGACACATGCCGGTCAGAGCATCCCTTCTGAATGGTCTACCGGCCAGATAATACAGATAACGCCAGTCCCTCTTATAAGCACTCTGTGTGATTGTCTCATTTCGTCCTCACGACAGCTCTATGAGGTAGGTACTTCATCCCCATTTTACAGAGGGAAAAACTGAAGCTCAGAGAGGGTTAAGTATACCCAAGTTCATGCAGATACTAAGGATGGGACTTGAACCCAGACCCCATCGGCTCAAGAGTCTGTATTCCTTATAACAACACTCTCTCCCGGAGCAGTACCTCTGCTGACTTCCAAGCTTGATGGCACCATGCAAATCACCAGCCCAGCTAAACCTCATCTCCTCATCTGCCAAATGGGCAGGAGGGCAGCGTCCACCTCCTCATGAGAGGATACCTCAGGAGCACTTAGCACCATGCAGGCACATGGCAAGCTCTCAACCATATTAGTCTGCAGTGACATACGATGGCCAAAACAGGAGTGCAGAACAGAACTACCTGGCTAAAACATGTGTTGGAATTTTATGCACATAAAATCTCCAGAATAGATAAATCCACATGGACAGTATGCAGACTGGCGGTTGCCAGGGGCTGTGGGGAGAAGGAAATGGGGAGTGATTGTTTAATGGGTACAAAGTTTTATTTTGGGGTGATGAAAATGTTTTGGAATTAAGACAGAGGTGGTGGTTGCACAACAGTGTGAATGTGCTAATGCCACTGAATCATTCACTTTCACATGGTTAATTTTATGTTATGTGACTTTCATCTCAATTTTAAAAAGTGATAAAACCAGGAAAAAATAAAAAGCAAAACGATTTCAAAACAGGACCCCTAACAATGGGCAGAAATGCTCTAAGACCCACAAAGAATTGCAAAATTCTACAACTACACCTAATTATCCAACTCAGAAACCAGGGATGGGGACATTCGTTTCCCACGAAATCAAGTTGGCCTACTTGTTTTCATCCAAATTGTTTCTGGCCAAATCATATGACACCTCCAGGGCTTTCTGCATGGGAAGGACTCCCAGGTTTGATTTCCATCTTCTCTACTCTCAGCTGTGTGACCTTGGGCAAGTCCCTTTACCCTTCTAAGCCTCAGGTTTCTCATCTGCAAGCAATGTCTCTTTCCTCATAAGATGGGTTATTAGGATAAAATAAGCTAATGCACACAGAGGGCTCTGAAGAAGGCTTGGCATATAGTAACTGCCTGCCATGCAATGGCTTTGGTCACGCCCGCCCCCTCTGTATTTGGGATGACACCTACCTGAGCAATGAACGGAGTGATGAGAGCACCCACTCTTGCCATGCCGCTGCAGGTGCCCAGGCCGAGTGCTCGCGTCGCCGTAGGGTAGACCTGAAACACAGCCACCAGACCTAGCCTTGAGAAAACAGAGTCCTTCCCTCTTCTCCAGCTCAGGAATGACGTGACTGACCCCCACGGGCAAGCCTGAAGCTAGGGGGACTCCCTCAGGTGTTGGTGACTCTATTAAGGGATGGGAAACTGGGGTGGAGATTCTCACCCCAAAGGAGACAGGAAGTTCAACTGAGAAAGAGGACAAGAGGCTGAGCTGTGGGTGGGAACCCAGGAAGGGGGTCCTCCTGCCCTGGCGGTCATGAGAGACTCTGCGCAGAACTCCATTCAGGATCCAGGCACTGTCCTACCTGCCACTTTTCACTAGTTCGCCTTGAAGCACTGGTCACGGATGTTCAAGGCATTTCATAAAGAGAGACTGAAATGTTTATACAGTGTCTCAGTTCATACCCAGCAGTGGCCACATGCCTAGTTGTCTATTAGGCAAAGTGAGAAGGGACTGAGTATCTTCCAGGCCACGGTAATTAAGAAGTAGGCATGTCTCCTCTACCTGCTACCCCTGTATGCTGGCTGGAAGGAGGACTCCGAGGCCCTAGGGCAGGGTTTTGCAACTTCAGCATTAGATATGATTGCACTCTGCACCTGCCATCCCAGTTTTGACAACCCCAAAGTATCTTGAGACATTGCCAAATGTCCCCTGGGAGGCCAACATCACCAATGGCTAATAATCACTAGGTGAGGGAGTCACAAGATGTAAGGAGCCTGGGTCCTGGGATCACTGTGGAGAGGATAGCTGTCGGCCAACCTGGAACGCCCGTATTGGACTGTTTCCTAAGTGAGAAACTTCTGCTGTGTCAATACTTTCTGTTCTGGGAGTTATCTGTCACAGCAGCTAGCATGACTCTGACAAACACAATGCTCAATGCAGGAAGCTTAAAAAGAATGAAAACCCTAAAGAGGAAAAACAAAGCTCACGCGGGATCCCACCACTCAGAGATAACCATTGTCACATTTTCATGCATATTCTTCTAGTTTTTCTGTGTTGCTTACATATTTATGTATTCATTCATTAATTCATTCAGTCAATGAATACTTTTTGAGTGCATACCATATGCATTTATATATGACATTTTAATTCACTTAATTATACAAGCGACACATAAATATATAAATATATTCTTGTAAAAAAATTTAAATTCCCTATTAATCCACTCCCTGTCTCAGGAAAACTCTCCCCATAGGACCCCACTATTACGAACTTTGGAACCTATCCTCCCCAACGTGTTAAAAATATATATGGGTATAGAAAATTTATAGCATTGTTTTTCAAATACAGATGGTATCATACTAAGCATATCAGTCTGAAACTTGCTTTTGCCATTCAGCAATATATCTTAAAATCCTATCCACATCAGTGTACAGACAGCTACCTCATTCTTTCTAACTGCTGTAATTGAATTCCACAGTGGATATTCCACAGCTTACAATTTGGTAGAGACTGATGGACATTATATATTGTGTGTGTGTATTATATACATATCATAGAATACAACTATGTGTTCTATTATATAAAAGTAAATAAAATGCAATGTATTTATATATAGTTACATATGCTACTATATCAATTAATAAGCATATAATTGTATATAGTATAATGAAGTATAGTATATAATATACAGTATAGTATATAGTATACAAAGTGTATATATACTACATAGTATAGTGAAGTACGGTATACTATATATATGTACACTAGATAGTATAGTACAGTATATAAGAGTATACATAGTATATAGTAAAGTACAGTATATATAACATAGTAGAGTATATAATACATAGCATATATACTATATAGTATAGTAGAGTATATAATAGATATTGTACATATGTGCTATGTAGTATTGTATAATATAATATAGTACAATATAGTATCGCAGCTATCAAAAAGAACAAAGTAGGGCCGGCCGAGTGGCGCGTTGGTTAAGAGCTGCCTTGGGACATCAGCTCTGAGCAGCAGGGCCCCAGTTCGGATGCCATGTTAGGGCCAGTGACACTGCCCTCTACAGCTAAGATGGTGAACAACAGCTCGGCCTGGAACTGGGCTGCCATGAGTCACCAGCGACGGTGTAGGCTGCAGCCCCTGCTGCAGTGGGCTGCCATAAGCTACCATGAGTGGCCAGCAGCCAGCCTGAGCAGCCGGCAGCTGGCGTGAGCTGCCAAGAGCCGCTGTGAGCGGCTGTCCAGTGGCCAGTGACCGATCTGCCTCAGCCAGCAAGAGCGCTATGATAATACCAACATGGGCCAGCGAAGCGACGTCCTCCACAACTAGACTGAAGTACAAAAGGACAGCAACTTGTCTGTTCTCCTTCCCCGATTCCCCAACACTGTTCCCCTCCCCCAATTCCCCAATAAAACCTTTAAAAAAAAAAAAAAGAACAAAGTAGAGCCATAGCCTTGTGCTCATTATCTTCTAGATTCCTCTCCAGAACTTCTCTCTACCCTTCCCCGTCTCATTCTCTGCCCTAGGGGCTGGCCTATGTGGACCACAAAGGCTCCTTGGCCCTCTCGCTTCTGCCAATGGGAAGCCCCAGTGACAGATGGAGAGGAGGTGGGTGAGAGAAGCTGGGGTACATTTTTTTTCTGCTCCTTCCCTTCCAGGTTGCCTCAGGCCACCTGCATCCTTCAACTAAAGGTCACAGCTTCTCTCTACACAACTCTGTCCTGGGACCCTGTCCCAGGGCCCTGTCCTCACACCACTGGTCTTGGATGGTAGCATTGTCCCCAGTTACCTCCACCTCATTGCAAGCTCTGGTCACTGCTCTATCATTTTTTGGTTTCCCCAAGCCCTGCCCCACACCACTGTAATTAGTCCCTTTATTAAACTCTTCTCAACTGCTCACTTTCTCAATTTGATACAGGCACTAACATATATTAATAAGTCTTAGGAAAAAATCTGGAAGAGTATACACTAAATTATTCAAGAAAGTTTTCTCTAGGAAGGGGGAAGGGGGGCCTTTCATTTTTGGTTTATACGGCTCTGTAATATTTGGAACTTTTACACTGAACATATACTTTTATAAGCAGAAAAAAAATTACTAATAGACTGAAATAATGAAGGGCTTCATAGTTGTCACTCAGGCCCAAGGACAAATTTCATACCAAGGGGACCAGGCTAGGTGTTTCTAAAGGCAGAGGTCCCTCCCTCTCTGCCCCAGCCGCTCCCAGACACCCCTCCTACCTCAGGTGTGTAAACATAGGCTGCTTGGAAGCCTCCAGAAATAAACGCTCTTGCAATGAAGAGTAACAGAGTGAGCATATTTCTAGGGAAAGAAAAAAACCAGATGAGCAAGTATTTTTTTCTGTCAGCTTGTTTCAACAAAGTCCTATCTGCCCAGGCAAAACTGACACCCTGGAAATTGGCAAAGCCCACCCCGACCCAACACAACTTCATGCAGGTACGTGGACACACATCCTAGGGCCCTGTCTAAAGGCTGGGCTTTTATCAGTTTAGCGTTCTCCAAAGCACCAGGCCGGCAAATGGAAACATCTGTGGTGTTCAGGTTGGGGGTAAGTGATGTCATGTATCTAAAGTCCAGACAGGAACTAGTGGGGGCAGGTATTGAGCCAGGGACCAGCTGAGCTAGAGAAAGTCAACTTCTAGTCAGTACTTTTAGGACAATCCTGATCCCCAACCTTCTGTTCCATGGTTCTCATGAATGTCCCATGATATCAACATTTTAGGGTCTAAGCCATATCCCCAGGCCTTCCCCAGATTCCTCATCAGGTTTGGTCTGGGGCCTCTCAGAGGTCATGAGAGGCACAGGCCACTTCCATATTTTGATAGGTAGAAACATGGAGGAACGCCCAAAGGGGATTATAAAACAGGACCTATCTGAAATGTTTCCATGGAACAAATGAACACTTTTAACCCACACAGAAATTAAACACCGATTTGCATGATCTCATTGGGAGGTGATGTCAAAAGTCTAAATGTGATGATGTTGGAGCAAAACCTGGACCCTCCGCCCACCTCTATCAGAGGTGCCCTCCTGCTGCCAACTCTGTCAGAAGCCACACATTTGAGGCTGACTTTTGGTCAGTTTTAAGGCAGCTAAGAGCCTCAGTCCTATGAGGAGCTGGGGGGATACCTCAGATGACCCACAGCGGTTGCAATCCACAGCTTGCAGGCTCAGAGAGCCACTGACCACAACCTGAGAAATAAGCCTGCTGGCCCGAGAGAGCTGGTTTCAGGACCCACCTTCCAACACAGATAAACAGCAGGAGGCTGCAGAAGGAGAAGATGGTGAAGCACAGAGCCATGGTCTTCTTGCGGCCCAGGCGGTCAATGATCCACAGAGTCACAAGGACACCTGGAAGGGAGCAGGGGCACCATGGCAGGCAGCTTCTGAGGTGGCTGCTAACCACCCCCGCCTCCTGATATTCACACCCTGTATAACCCCTCACCTTGAGAGTGGGCTGGGCCTAGCGACTCACTTCTAATTGGCCAGAATACAACAAAAGTGATGGGATGTCGCTTCTGAGATGAGGTTATAAAAGGCTGTGATGTGTCTTCCTTTTTTTTTTTTTTGGCATTCTCTCTCTCCCTGGCTCTTCTCATGCACCTGCCTTGTTCATCACTGGGCAAGGAACTGAAGGTGGCCTCTGGCCAACAGCCAGTGAGGAACTTGACGCTCCGGGTCTAACAACCCTGGAGGAATTGAATTCTGCCACCAACCACATGAGTACGAGTGGAAGTAGATCCTGCCCAGTTGAGCTTTCAGATGAGACCGCAGACCCTGGGCCAGCCCTTCCACTGCAGCCTTGTGAGATACACTGGGGCAAAGGACCCAGGTAAGCCACTCCCAGGTTCCTGACCCACAGAAACCGAGTCATAGATATGTGTTGTTTTAAGTCACTAAAACTGAGATAATTTGTTACGCAGCAATCGATAAACTAACGCAGCCATCAAGGGGAGCCTGAATGGTGGCATTAGTTGAATCCAGACAGTGGACTCCTGGGATGGGAGTCAGAAACACATGTGTTCTAAGGCCTCATTTTTCTTCTAACTTGCCATGTGGTCTTGGGTTAGTCCCTTGCCTTCTCTGAGCCTGAATTTCTACATCTGTAAAGTGGGATTAAATAAAAATAACACTCCCCACCTTGGTAAGGCAGTATACCATAGTGCTTATTATTATTAATTATTAAATCTTGGCCAAGCACTTTTACATCTATTATCTCATTTAATCATCAAAACAACCCTCCAAAAGAAATGCAATTAATAGTCCCATTTCCCCCATGTATCAATCAATATATTAAGTGCCTACCGTATGTCAGGAACTATTGTAGGAGCCTGGGATGTGTCAGTGACCAAAACAAAGACCAAAGCAATAAACATAATAAGGAAGAAGAATCCAAGTTTAAGAAAGCTTAAATCATGGAAACGGTGAGTGCTTGAAGTCGCGGAAATGGCAACTGGCAATGCTGACTTGAACGCCAGTCTACTCTTACTTACTAAGCTCTCTGGAAGAGGGGTTTTAGAAGAAACATAGACAGTGTAGTAGAGGAGCAAGGACTCGGATCTGGGGTGGGACCACAGGCCTGAGCTCTGGCAGCTGTAGGACTCAGTGTCTTAGTTGGGTTGTCCAAGAAGCAGACTCTGGGTGCAAGTACCAAGTGTTTATGTGGGAGCTCATCCAAGGAAACACCAGTAGGAGAGTGACAAAGCGGGAGAGAGAGGGGGAGCCACTAATAAAGGTTGCATATCAAGCAAGTTACTGTGGGCAATTGCTGTTGAATTCCACGGGAGGGCTCAGGAAGCCAGCACGGAACATGAACTTGAGAATTCTCCTGCCTGACGGGTGAGGAAGCTGGGGGTTGATACACCAAGCCCCACAGTTATTGGTTGAAGGCTGTTCCCATGTATTAACTCCCTGGCACCTCTGGCCACCTTGCTTGCTTTTACATACGGAGGCTTTCCATTCCTCCGGAACAGCCCTCAGGCACAGAGATGTCGCTACTGGCAGCAGCAAGTTGCAGGAACAGTTCCGGCTCTACCCCTCCAAGTCTCCGTTTCTCCAGTTGTAAAATGGGAATTATATACACCGTCACAAGACTAAGGGAGAACATATCTGTAAAACATTGAGCACAGTGCCTTTTATATAGTCAGCGCTCAATAAATACTAGATATTTTTAAAATTTACCAAAAAGCTTATTTATTTATTAAATAGATATTATTATTGTTATGACAATCATTATTCCTTCTAAAGGAGAAAGATAGATTGCCTTTTTTTTACGGGCAGGTTTGGATTTTGGCACCCCACTGATCCTTTCCAGCATGACTGGTGTTGGGGGACAATTCTCCGTGGTTCTCTCGTATTTCTCCACATCTTCTGAGCAGAGGTACTAGCTGCCATTTTGTTCCAGGCTATCGTTTCAAGGTTGTTTGTATAGAAACAGCCTTGAAAGGTGGAGCTACAGTCTCTTTCTAGAGCAAAGGGCAGGTCTATTTATTGTCTGATACAATAAAGATGATGTCTCTCTCTGGGACAAAGGCTCAGCAGGTTCCTGGTAGCCTATTAGAAAAGAGTTGGGTTCCCGAAGCTTGAGATTCCTCAGCTGGGTTGCAAAACCCCTGCATGTGTAGCACCCACTTGGGTCCATCCTCATCATCTCTGTGGGGTTTGGGGCAATGGAAGCTGACACTACCATGCTACTCATGCTGTCTGCTGTGCCATGAGTAACAGTCTTTTGTCTCTGATCCAGGAATCTCGCGTCTTCTGCCAGCATACATGAAACTGGGCAGCTTCACTTGTTAGCCTAAATGTAGAGTAAAGTCTCAGGACCTTTGTAGATTTTGACAACGTATAGCTAAGGGTTGAAAAAATAATCCCCGGCTCCCCTGGAAATGGGATTTGCTTCCAGGTGGCACCAGGAATGTGACACTAAACAGCTGCCGCATTCTCAGCTTTCCTTGTCCCAGTCCCACCTCCCATAGGTCCCTCACCTGGGAATTCAGACAGGGTGGTCCATAGCAGGTCCATGTAATCCTCCTCACTCAGGTACTCGCAGGCCAGGCTGCATTTTGCCTCTACCGCCTTCTTCCGGCTGGAGACTGGGAGGTGGGAGACAGACAGAGAGGAAGAGCCATGCACAGAGCCTTAAATCACACCCGCTGCTCCCCATACCTCCTCCTCTGGGTATGATTTGGCTGGGGTGCTGTGGAAAGAACCCAGGCTCAGGAGTCAGACAGGCTCGGGTTTGAATCCCAACCAGCTGTGCTTACAGCTTCATCTCTCTGAGCCTCAGTTTTCTCAAAAAACCACCGGGCAAAGTGGTTGAGAGAATGAAAGCAGGCTGTGCGTATGAATGTGCTTAATTCATATTTGGCATGTACTACGTGCTTTTGTGGCAGACAGACTCTAGGGTGGCTCCAGTGATCCCCACCTATATTATCTGGCCCCGTTACTTCCTTGATCCCATCTTCTCTCTCCCTTGCTCTGCTCACTCTACCGTATTTGCCGGCGTATAAGACGATTTTTTGGCACTGAAAAATATGCCTCCAAGTGGGGGGTCGTCTTATACGCCAGGTACACTTCAGATAGACTGCCCATAGTGCTTGCCCCGTGCCATAGTGGCCTCCCGATGCCCGCCCACTTCATTCCACATGCCGTTCAGGCATCAGCAGCGCTGCTGGGTGTATGCTTGGCTGTTATGCGATTTTGCTGTTATGCGATTTTACCACACTCGCAAAATCGCACACAGCCGACCATATAACAAACTCTGTATTTTGAGTGGAAATGTTAGGGGGTCGTCTTATACGCCGAGTCGTCTTATACGCCGGCAAATACGGTACTTTAGGCACACTGGTCTTCTTGCTGTTCCTTCAACAAGTCAGGCACACTCCTGCCTCAGGACCTTTGCACTGGCTACTCCGTTGTCCTGAATTGCACTTGACATATACCCATGACTAATTTCCTCACCTCCTTCAAGTCTTCCCTTAAACCTCTCCTTCTCATTGAGGGCATTCTGACCACTCCATTTAAAACTTCAACCTACCCACTACCCCTTGCTCTGCCCCACACTGACCTCCCTGACCCTGCACTATTATATGTTTTTCCTCCAAATCATTTATTAGGAAATAGCGTGAAAGACTTTGAAATGGGCAAAAATGTCCTGTCTAAGGCATCCCTCTAGGTTTTCTCTCCTTTCATTATCTTCAAGCTATTTTATAACTTTCTACATTATAGAATACTGATCAAATGCAACTCATTCTTGTCCATCAAAATGCAAACTGTGTCTGGTGGTGACATAATAGATTATTACTTAGGCATACTGACAAGTTTTGCGTCTAATTGTAAATTCATTTCAGCATTTCTGAATGCCTATATACATGTGTGTTTTGCATTCTCCTTTGAAGCAGCTGTAACCGCTTACTGATGTTAGTAAGCAATTCTCCATGGGTTTGCATGTTATAACATGCATGTTTCTGCATGTTATATAAGCAGAGGCCATGACTACCTTTGCTCTGGACTATCTTTTCAAGGACTTTTGTTTAGCCAACAGGCTTTAAAGATAGAGAGTATCTCCCTTTGGAGCAAAGGGCAGGTTTATTTAACTTCAAAGATATAGTGTCTCCTTGCAGGGTGAAGGTCAGGCAGGCTTACCATCCAGTATAAAAGATCTGGGTGCCCTGAGCTTAGACATCCTTTCCTGTAACACAACCCACTGCTTTTGCAGGTATCACCTGCCCTTCTTCACGTCACCCTGTGGGAATTGGGGCTTAAGGAATGGGTATAAGAAAATGTTGACACTCTCACTACTGCTGTGAGTAATAAAGTCCTTTGTCTCTGACCCAGGGGTGTCATGTCTGCTGCTAGCAGCTGGGCAAACTGTAAAAAGCTAACTATTTTAGTTAGCTTGCCAATAGGTAAACTCTCAGACTTTTCACAGTTCTTAACAACTGATGCATTCATTCATCGATGTGTTAAATAAAATAAAATCTTTGACATATATTCATTTTATGTTTGTGTGAGAGGCATGATTTTACCTTTTCTTTAAAGGCTTTCCTTTAACACACCTATCACCTTCCAACACACTCTATAATTTCCTTACTTGCTATGTTATTCTCTCTTTTGCTGTCACCCCACCAAAATATAAGCTCACAGGGCAGGGATATTTGTCTTTTGTATTCATTGATATATATCCTAACACCTAGTAGGTAAGTACAATGAAAACACTTCCTGAATGAATGACTTACCCAAAGTCACCCAGCTACTTAGTGCTAGAACTCAGGCTCCCTGATTTCTGGCTGTGAGCTTGTTTCACAGTATGACTTATACCCAGGTATAAGAGCAAGTTTTTCAATAAGGTTGATTAATTATCACCTGTAGGGCAAATTGGGTCTGCCTGTTTTTTGCCTGGCTCGTGAGTTAAGAATAGTTTTTACATTTTAAAACGATTTTTAAAATTCAAAAGAAGAATAATATTTCATGACGTAAAAAATGATATGAAATTCAAACCTGGGTTCACACGTAAGGTTTTACTGGAACACAAGCCATGCTTGTACCTTTACACATTGCCCATAGCTGCTTCTCTGCTACAATGGCAGAAGTGTATGGCCCACCAAGCCTAAATGTTTACAGTCTGGCCCTTTATAGAAAAAGTTGCCAATCCCTGCTTTACAACACTCCACTGGATCCTCTGTTTTGCTCAAGCAGGTCCACGGCTAGGGGCATGTGAATGAATACCAAACCCCAAATCTACAATTGACCTGCTTAACTAACTCAGAGCAGTTCATTTAGACGCTCACCGCTTTAGTGAGATGTGACTCTGCCATCTCGTTAAATCCTGATACCAATAAACAAAACTATTAACTAAGATTAAAGAAGCTTAATATGAAAAAGATAATTGGGCGAATCCTGCCAACAAGCAAGGACTTGATCTCTTTATCTCCCATCCTGGGTTCAGTGCTAAGAATCCAGTATTCTCTTAAAGACAGAATGGTTTGAAAGCCCAGACATCTGCATATCGACTTTGCTTGTTATTTGTCCCTTTTGTCCAGTGGTTCCCACCTCCAGCTGCACAATAGAATCACCTGGGGAGCTTTTAAAACCCACTAATGTTTGGGCCCCACCCCACAGAGATGCTGATTAAATTGGCCTGGGCATTGTTTAACCGGGACTGGGACTGTTTAGAAGCTCCCCCAGGTGATTCTGTTGTGTGGCCAGAGTTGAGATCCAACCTGGTTCTCAGACTTAATATGCACAGGAGAACTGCCACACAGGGTCAGAGCCAGCTGTCACACTCAGTGCTGCACTTCATGGAGCGTCCGCTGTCATGTCACTTCTATCATGACAAGATTGTCCAGGTTTCTACAGAGAACCCTGGAACCACAGCCCAGATCTTCTATGCTTAGATTTTGCAGAAACTTTCTCCCTGGAGTTTGTTGGGCCAACACTACTGGGGTAAAAGTCACTGGGATTTGTGCAAGGCCAGGTCCTGTAAGGGCAGAACCTCAGGTGGGAGGGCGTGTGTGACTGCGTGTGTTGGTAGTAGGGGTGGTTCACTGGCGAAGAGGGCTTCCATACTCACTGCTGCAGACATCTCCTGCCTGGAAGAGCTCTGTGGTGAGTAGGACTAATCCATAGTAAGAAAATGCATTGGAAAACCTGCCAGGAAGGAAACAAGAAAGGGAAAGAAATGATCAGGGAAATGCAAGTCCCCTTTCCCTATCCCCTCCAGGAGGATTTGCATCTACAACAGCAGTGACTCGCCTTTGGGCAGTGGCCACACTGGGCCTTGGGGGGCTTTCCTGGGGCCTTGAGCAGGAAGATGGCAAGCACAAAGCACACTGATAGTGTGGGGACCCAGGCCCAGAGAAATGAAAGAAACTTCTGCTTCAGCAAAAAATTAACAAAGTATCTTGTCAAGAAATTGGGAAAAGATAAACTAAATGCTTTTAGCTTGCTTGCTAGGGAAGAGATAAGCTCAATGTTTTATGGCTTGCTTGCTAGGGAAGAGATAAGTTAGGTATGTTG